TTGCGAAGCTGAGCTTAGCATCCATAGTCAACGTCCAAAATGCACCAATGACTCAGGAGTCAACCCTGTGTCAACGGATGCCTTCTGTCATCTCTTCAAACCTTTTCCTATTACGTCATTATATACAAACACCAAACCCGAGACAAGTCTTCCGAAACAAAGCAAAGTCCATTGACAGTCAATCCTGTGTCAACCAATATTTCGTCAAAATATATCTCTTCCTTGACATACAGTCCCGTAGATGTATATCAGCACCTGGACACAAGTAGAGCGCATTCTGCACAGTACAATTCCACCGTGTTATACCTTCGCGAGACCTTCCATAACTGTTCATAGTTATCCGTGTTAGTCTCTATTCGAGAGTTGACAGAATGTTGCTTTTCTCATATCACCGTAATTGCCCCGTGACACTATTTTGGTATTGCGAGCTGGGAAGGACTCTAGCAAAGGAAATAGTATTAAAAGAGGTATCGGATTAGGTTAGGTTAGGTTAGGTTAACTTAGGGTGATATCTGGAGTGCGTACAAATGGATAAATGACCGCGTGCGTGATAAATGACGTCTAGAAATGCGTCCGAGTATCTAAAGTACCTGGACCACCGAGGACGAGTTCACGTGGGAAATGAGTGATCAACGAAGAAAGCTTGCGTATGAAAGGATAGAGTATTAGGATTTAAATAAGGGTGCAAGGGTGCAGGCAAGTCAGAATGCATCAGTCGAATACATAGTGAGTAGAAGATCGTGTGTTTGAGAGTTAGAGTCGAAAAATTGAGGGAAAGATAGTGTATTATTTTAGTATAACACGTGAAGTGCCCAATCCGTTTTGCTTAACTAGGTTCTGTTCAGACCTAGACTCGACTATCAAGTGGGCCACCGGCGACGGACAAAGTGTTCATAAAACTCGGAGATGCTGTACCAATTATTATAACACGAATTCCCAAACGTTAGATCCAAAGATAACGAATAATTTAACACCAAAAATTAGCACCTTTTGGCCCTGGTCTGGACCCAAACGGAAAGTCTAGCACCGGTTCCTGGGGACTAACGTGACACTTACCGTGTTAAATAAATCTGTCTGTTATTAAAAAGGAGTGGTTGTTTATTAACCGAGCAACTCTCTGTCTGCATAGGATTCATCTAGCATTAGTCGTACGCTATTGGGAGAAAAGAAAAAGAGAATAGAAGATGAAATGATAGAAGAAACTAGACACGATCGATTGGAAGACACGGAAGAAAAGGTGGATCGTGAGAATGGTAACGGCACGCTCGATGCCACTTTGAGCCACCTATAGAATTCCACGGCGAAATGCCTCGCAGCATTCCGACAAACAGCAACAGCCTTCGTCCCTTTCTGTCGCTGAACTTATCACCACCGACCCTCTCAGCGCCGGTTTTGTCCCTTTATTTACAACCCCCGTGCTGACCCACATGGACGTCGACTTATATCTGCTTCCAATTAAAAGAGCGGAATTGGATCGCGTTAAAAAAAGCCGAAAGGAAGCGCCGCTGACCCCTTGCACCCCCGCCGCGGATGAAGAAGAATCCGGGCGTCTACAGGGGTCGAAGGGGTGAGAGTTCTTTCAGCTCGGGCAACCCTGCCCTCGCGATTAACCTCGCCAACTTTCTCCTTCATTCCCTCGCTCTTTCTGCCTATGGTACTTTGTCGTTGATCACTTGGAAGATGCTTCGAGAATCAATGGGGTCGAACGACAGTCGCGTTTAGAGATGTTTCGAGGATGAAGTGGATAAAGGAATTAGCTACCTTGGCTCGTGCAGCTCCTTGTTTGCGAGATTTGGAGCAGAACCGTTGTAGAAGCTAGGATTCTACTTGTAAGCAGAGCTTGGTAGATTGAGAATGACGCTGAGATGTTACGCTGATTAATCGCGAAATGATAGTTCTTTACATTTTAAGGAAAAATCCAACATTGGAAAAGATGTGCCTCTCAGAGGGATAAATAAATCTACCAGGGAGCCAAATTATCACCTTGACTACGGCAGACTTTGATACGCACCAGTCATACCGTACGACAGGAATTGAGTTACAATGTGCGTTGAGAACGGCAAACTTTTGGATAGGTTAGGTTAGGTTAGGTATAATAGGTATAATTAGGTATTTTTGTGAAAACATAAAGCAAACTTCGACGAGCACCTATAGGCGCTCCAGTGTCACGAACGCAAAATTCCTAAGCGCCTGTAGACGCCCACAGTAGCCAAGGGGTTATGGGGCCTAAGATCGTTATAGGCACGAAAGAAAAGTAATATTCCCCGATTCCGGATCGACAGCGGATTATCCCATTCGTTCCCAGACAAACGACGATGTTTTTATAGAAATCTCTGGATTCAAGAATGAAGGGAACGAAAAGAGAAAAGAAGATGAAAAAGCAACGAGCTAAGCATAAGCGATGACACGTGCCTATAAAGTTCCTCTCTCTCTTTTTTCCACTCGGAGAATCCCTTCGAAGCGATAAATAGCGCGAAACTAAGCAAGAAATAATCCCTCTCGACGGATATATCCGCTTAATAACGAGAGGACTAGATACGGTCGGATATTAAAGCCTAGTCCACTTCATCGAAATGGCCGGTTTACAAACTGCACGACCGGTGTAACTCGTCCACCTAGCAACGGTAAAACCTGCACCAGGATAATAAAAACTGGACGTCTGTGTAATTAAAGACGTCTTATTTAATTGTTCGTATCGATAATAAGTGAGGTTAGAATTTAATCGATCATATGGTTGCTTCCGACGCCTGTGGGAACATCGTTCGGCCATTATGGCAGGTCATGGAGGATTGCTGCATAAAATGGCGGAAGGAGTATTATTCGGTGATGAAGTCTGAGATATCTGGGTTACTCGAAGCTTTTTAAGCTTCTGTAGACGATCGTTAAGTATTCTCGTATCATACTCGATGGATAGAGTGTAACTTTGTGACGAGCTAAGTACTTAGTATGACTCGTCGTTTATTCGTGTATGAAACTCGGTAGCCATGTTTGCTGTTTCAAGAATACATCTACTTTTATCGTATCGTATAACTATATTTTATTTATTAAAATAGTCTTTTATATACGATTTAAAGCTTCCTGTATAACAAAAGCGATCAGCGAATATTAATTCTGTTTGTTAATTGGAATGTCGAATGGTTGATAAACGAAATTAAAATTTCAGGAAATTGAGAGTTAACGAGGAGACGTTAATATATTTCTATCTATGAAATACCTTGCAATATGACAGTGTATTGACTAAATCTCTACGTCTCTGTGTAAATAAGTTATCGAGTCTAATGTATTAATAATTCGTACAGCGAATCAACGTGCAATTTATCTAAGTAATGGGTTGGCAATGACTATTATAAGCATAGTCCGTTTTACACCACGATTTAAACATCAGCACCATGTCGCATAGTTCGACGCGTTGCATCTGCAGACGCAATTTCACGCGCCGTTAGTATCACGGGGAGAAAGAAAAAGAAATGGGGGAAACAATGGCGTAGGACGAGACGGGGTGCGAAAATTTAATTACTATGCTGCAATTACGGACAGCACGCTCATTTCGCGTAGCACCATAAACAAGGAACTACAATTAAGTTCTTATGCGACCAAGAGCTTGGACTTGCAAATCTATCGTGGCCATTTTTCATTAACCTCGCGATAGACTTTCAAGCGAAATTTTTTCCCCCGAAAAGTCGTCAGACTACGCCAGAAAACTTCATCATCCATTCTCGTGCCCACCGGTTGGTCAGAATTTTTTTTCCATCTTAATCGCTCGTCTGGAATTGATTATCGGATTATTCTTAATCTTTATTCCTCCTTCGTCTCATTACAAATTCGATAGAACTTCCGAGAAGAAAAACTTAGCCATCTTCGCCCCTTGTTTCAGCCCTTGAAAACGCGACATTTGCATTTTTACATCGACCAAGTGGAAACTCTTTCATGAATTTGTTTCCTTGCCTTGGCTGAACGAGCTTCGTGTACTACACGGGCCTCTTTCTCGGTGTTACGCTCCTTTCTACACGTACTTTCCCCAAACAGAAGGTAGAAAGTTGCAAAAGGGTGCAGGAGACGAAGTTGCCTCTTAGGTATACCGAGTCCTGACGCCATGTTATGATTGCGAGATAACCTAAGAACGATACTAGACCCAAAAATTTTCGTCCCTAATTTCCGTCAATTCCTTGCAATATGACAACACGCGTAACTCTAATCATACTTTCGTAATTTTTTTTTTTTTTGCATAAAATATTTCGAAGATGAATAGATCATTTGTAAACGAAGAAATTTTTAAATTTCGTTCATTAACAAGGTATCAGTAGATGGTATTTTAAACCTACGAATTATACGAATAAATTATACGGATAAATAAATTTTTATTCGAAAAAGAAATGAAAATTGGGAAGACAAATATAAAATGTGGCCACGTGGTATTAAGGAGCAAAGATAAATTGAAATTGAGGATCAATTTTACGTCCCAATGCACAATGGTAAATCAAAGAAAACAAATCTTGCTATTTAAGCCTGTAAAGCGGGTCAGATGTAATTAAATGGAATAAATATAAAAGAATTAGACGAAATGAGATTTCTAAATAAATTGTTCACTTTCTAAATAATATTTTCTTATGTATTGAAAAATGAGAAGAAGGTTACATTACTTAGAAAATGTAGAAAAATTATAATATTTTTTAAAATTGATGCTTCAGTTCGCATAACCGGAAGTAGCATAAGTATGTATTGCTAACAGGATATTTAATACCACCGAGGTCATATCGACAAGGCTGAACCTATGCAAAAATCGTGAGTGACCGACCGAGCATACAAATCGATATAATCAATAACCTAGATCCTTGTCAGCAAATTATTCTCTTAAATAATTAGTGAATTGTTAAATTGCAATTTATTTCTATAAAAAAAAATTGACAAGTTAAATAATTTTTACCATCATAATGATGGCAGCACCGTCTTGACCGAATGCAGCTATCGAAACGCCACCTAAGTGGAGGATAAACCTCACGTTACAGTATCGACACAAAATACAATGTCTGCCTAATACTTCACAATGCCCTTCGTATACGTATATATTTAATGGAAGTGTGTACTTGTGTTGGACTACTTCGTAGTACACATCGTCTGGTGTCGCGTCATTATTTTCGAAAAAAATGGAGAATGTAGGGAAGATCATTATAGTATGGGGCAGAAAAAAAATCGAAATTCCAGACGTAAACCTGGGCGATACCGTTCGCGGTCTGAAAGAACGAATACACAAGGAAACTGGCATCCTTCCGGAACGTCAAAAACTTTTGAACCTTCGAACCAAAGGTTATGTTTTGAATTGTTTTCACGATCTTCTCTCCCTTTATTTTTCCCCATATAGTCACGTGTAACGCTTGATTTGCTATTAATTTTAAAATAAACTTTGTTAAAATGATTTTTGCTTTGATTTCAAACTATCCTTTTGTTCTATTCGATTTGACATGTTTGACAGTGTTATCTAAAACTCCGTTAAGTGTCTATAGAATCTTTCTTTTCACCAGACAAAGCACCTGAAGATGAGGAGATTCTAAGGAACTTGGGTATGAAGCCTGGATTTAAGCTAGTGCTGATGGGATCTCGCGAAGAAGACATTGCTAAAGCATGTCACGCGCCAAAAGACTTACCTGATGTAATTAATGACTTTAAGACTGAAGAGGAAGAGATAGAAATAGAAAATGTTAAAATATGCTTATTTCAAATCCAATGTAGAATCGACTACTACAGGTTTGTAGAATTAAATCCCTTCAGAGAAGGCAAGAAACTACTGGTGCTCGATATAGACTACACCATTTTCGATCACAAATCAACAGCAGGAAGTGGTGTGGAATTGATGCGTCCTTTCCTTCATCAATTTTTAACCCTGGCTTATCTAAATTATGACATAGTAATTTGGTCTGCAACTAGTATGAAATGGATCAATGAAAAGATGAAAGTGCTCGGAGTTTCCAATAATCCTTATTATAAAATAGCATGTCACCTTGACTCAAATGCTATGATCAATGTTCATACATCAAAACATGGCACTATCACAGCAAAACCACTTGCTATCATTTGGGGAAAGTACAAACAATTTTCTGCAAAGAACACTATCATGTTTGATGATATCAGAAGGAACTTTATTATGAATCCACAATCTGGATTAAAAATAAAACCATTCAGACATGCACACATCACCAGAAAGAAAGATAAGGAATTGTTAAGATTATCTCAATATCTAAAACTAATAGCCAAAGTGGATGATTTTCAGACACTTAATCATAGAAAATGGCAGGAATATATAATCGAGAAAACCAAAGAGGAAAAGAAAAATAAGGAAGGAAATGAAGGAAGGAGCGAATAAACATCTTTTTTTTTTGAAGATGTTAAATGCTTGTGAAATTTTATGAATTTTTTCATTATTCAAGAAAATAAATTTCAAGTAAATGCATCGACTATCGCGGATTCACCTGCAACGATTTAAATTTTTTTGGAAGAAGAACACGTGTATAGAAAGGACATCTTTTAAATATTCTTCCACGAACGACATATGATGATATCGATGATGAACGTTAACTAATCGTTATTCGCATATTTTCACACGCTTCTTTGTATTTATGATGTACTTATCAGTTATTGTGAAACATATACGAAATATGTAATCACAGATTACCTAAATAAATCTTGTGTATTTCAAATAATGAAACGCTCGTTATTTTCCTTTCCATTGAAGTCTAGGAGTATTATAAATAATTTAAATAAATATTTTATTTTAAAGTCTGTAAAATGTATTTAACTAATTCAAAATTGTATTGATATTAAATTACAAAAACATCTTTGAGATTCTATTCAATATCATTAATCTTTATTGGTCGAAGTTTTACCGATAAGGAAATATATATGTAATTAATCCTCTATGCGATCGCCATCTATTCTTTCATCAAAAATATAGATATTGAAACAAGTTCGGTGTCAGCCTAATGTACGAGCAAGATGGCGAATTGTCCGTCATAGGCGGACTTTCGATCGGACAGTCAACGTTCCACATGCTGCGTAGAAATTGTCGTTTAGTGAAAAAGTCGGAAGCATGGAATTGTTCCGTACCGACACGCATTTCATTTTCGTAAAAGAGAGGCACAGTTTATGGTGTGACAAGAACACGGGAGAATTTTCCGCTAAATCGGGTGGGTACACGGCTTTTGTTTGACAGAAATATATATACATTCGTGTCAAGTACGATACACAGTGTGATTTTCGGTTCATTGTTCTTATTTAGAACACCTTTGATTTTTCGTGAAACGTGAATAGAATGATTTTATGTAATGTTAATTTATAAATTTAATTTAATTTCGCAACAATACCCGTCAAAACTAGAATTTTACATTAAATTATAATTAAATTATTAAAGTAATACAAAACCAGAGAATGCCTTAAAAGGCTGTTGTATGAGTGTGATTTTGCAATAGCTACAGTTTATGAATTATGTAAATATGTGAGAGCTGTAGTCTAACAGATGTAATTAGTTGAAACATAATATTAGATGATTTAAAATTTTATATTTACTTCCAAATTTTTTATAGATTGGGAATGGGCCTCTCCAAAGGATTTGGAATGTCTTGGAATATTTTATGGAATTGTTGGGAAAATAGAACAGCCATGTGTATTGGAACCTCGTTTAATGCTGATCAAAGAAGTTTTACCAGCTGGAGAGTTATATGGAGGTCATGTTATATATAAAATCAAATCAATTACATTTTTGCATCTTGGCAGTGAAAATAATGATATTGGACTTTTGCCATGTAAGAAGCATCAGAATTTGCCAAAGAAAAAAAGCCAAGGTGGCTTATTTGATGTTCCACAAAAAGCAGCATTTGCCAAAACATGGGGAACTATTAAAAGTGCTACAAACACCATAAAAAATACCACTCAACAGGCAGCTGCACTTGCTACATCTCAGGTAAATTCCTCACATTTAATTAGAACTAAAAAATTGTATGATACAAAATAGATATTTTTATATTGACAAGAGTATCTATAGGTAAAATCTACAGTAAGTAAACGGAATATTGTTAAAGACAAAGAAAGATTTGAGAAGAGAATTTTGGATGAGTTAAACAAAATTTTTACTGAAACTGACTCATTTTATTTCTGTCAAACTGGTGATATTACCAACAGCTTGCAAAGGCTTTGTGTCGCAGATTTACAACAGAATGAGGAAGGAATAAACAAACCACTTTGGCAAAGAGTAGATGATAGGTTCTTTTGGAACAAACATATGTTACAGGACATAATTAATTTAAAAGTTAGTATCATTTTAAACTTAAATTATTCTTCAAATATTTATTATTAAAAAAATATTTCATTTTTGTAGACAGACAAGGCAAACTGGTGGATATTACCAGTTATACAGGGATATGTGCAAATAGAAAAGTGTAAAGTAGAAGTGGGCATTGATGAACAACCTTACCATGAAACTTTCAATTTAGCAATTATATCAAGAAGAAGTAGATTTCGTGCAGGTACAAGGTAATTATTTATTTCTTTTTTTATCATTTTATATAACTTTGATTGCTAATTTTTTTTTCTAAATGTACTGTACCATGTTCAAGATATAAACGCCGCGGTGTCGATGATGAAGGCAAATGTGCAAACTATGTAGAAACAGAACAATTAGTTTGGTACCATGATCACCAAGTATCTTTTGTTCAAGTACGAGGTAGTGTGCCTGTATATTGGTCTCAACCTGGCTATAAGTACAAACCACCACCACGTATAGATAAAGGTAAATAGGAAAAAAGATTCACCCAAGTTTTAATAACAGTAGTTTTTAATCTTTCAGATGAAGCAGAAACGCAGATTGCATTTGAGAAACATTTTACCGAAGAACTCGGTTTATACGGTCCCATTTGCATCGTGAATCTCGTAGAGCAAACCGGCAAGGAAAAAATTATTTGGGAAGCTTACAGTAACCATGTTTTAAATTATAATAATCCCAATATAACGTACACGACTTTCGATTTTCATGAATACTGGTAAGCTATTACAGTGGTTTGAACTAATAGAGTATCTCGAATTATTGCTAAATATTCTTTTATACCTAACACAGTCGAGGAATGCATTTTGAAAATGTGTCTATCCTGGTCAATGCGTTAGCTACAGTATTGACAGACATGGGTTACTGTTGGCGCGATAAACAAGGCACTATTTGCATGCAGAAGGGAGTGTTTCGGGTGAATTGCATAGACTGTTTAGATAGAACGAACGTGGTGCAAACTGCTTTAGGTAAAGCTGTAATGGAAATGCAGTTTTCAAAACTAGGACTAATACCGCCGGACGGAACGTTACCGACAAATATCAAACAAACATTTCAATTGCTTTGGGCGAATAATGGCGACATTATCAGTAAACAATATGCTGGTACAAATGCTCTGAAGGTTCGTACCTTGTAGAACACGTTAGTTTTACTCCAACCGTTACGAATTAACCATAAGTAAAACTTCAATGAAAACATGACTGAATTTCTATGATAGTAGTTTCTTTTATTGCTTATAGGGAGATTACACAAGAACAGGGGAAAGAAAATTTACCGGTTTAATGAAAGATGGCATGAATTCTGCAAACAGGTACAATTGGATCACAATTATGACACACGACCCGCACTGCAGTAGAACACCATTTTCATTCACATATCCTACACAATACATTATTTTGCGATTATCTTTCAGTATTGACAGTATTTCGCGAATATACAACCTGATAGGTGTTGTAACTTTTCTAGAAGGAATAAAATGTTACACACCATTCGTATCATCATTAGATATCAATGATATTCAATACTTCCTTTTTTTTTTCTTTTTTTCTATCGTTAAATCATGATCACTGCTTAAATACTGACATACTTTATACATACATATATCCTTGACACTATCCTTTCATTTTCCTATAGATATTTTCAGCAACACTTTATGGATGATATACGTCAAGCGGCGATAGATACCTTGCTAGGGAATCCCATCGATGTTAATCAACTGAATACCGATTGGTCGCACTATTTAGACATCCTTGATAATTGCTGCCTTGAGCTAATACCCGCGAAACCACCAAACATAGAGCTTCAACTTGCCACCTATCCTGACTTTCTTTATGCCAGTGCTATGTATCGTTTGGCAAGGTTCGTTCTCGGTTTTGGGTTGAAAATTTTTCACTCGAGGAAACAATAAATAAAGTGTGTTATTTTGAAACCTCAAAGCAGTTGTTACTTTATCATAATAAGGAACAAGACGACATTTCAACTAAAACTGTGACTCCACATGTTATAATTAATTTGACATTGCGTTGCACGTAATTTTTATTGCATGATAATTGCTTGACTTTCAGTTTGATGTTAACAATCCTGAAAGAAGCAATTGCTCTAACTCCTTTTTAACAGTATCCTTTTTTCATTTCTTTTTTTTCTTTTTTTACTTTTGTTTGTACTTATAGTTTCAGCACAAACATTTAGGAGAGCCATATATTTTCAGATACTATTTAAATCGCTTCAAGGATGTTTATAGACAAGCCACAATTGATATGATGTTAGGGAACTCAGTAAACGAGGAAGTTTTTCAAGAACGTACCGAAGAGGAAGATAATGCTGCTACAGCAATTCATGTAAAATTACTGATAGAGGATTGCAAGAAACTACTTATACCTGACCCAGAAGTTATTTTAGGAAGTTGGGGTCTTATAGACGCAGATCCCGTGTATGTTAGACATTCGCCCTTTCTTTTCTTTCATTTATGCAATGCACAAAAATAATTTTCTCTTATAATTTATTTTATTTTAACAGAACTGGTGACTTAACAGAGACAGAAATGGACACTATTCTAATATTAACACGCGATAGCTATTATGTAGCTGATTATGATGATCAAATTGACAAAGTTACAAATTACCAAAGAGTTCCACTCGAAAATATTATACTGATCGAGTTCGGCCAGCCGGAGAGTTCAGTCTCCCTTTTTAAAAATAAGCATTTCTACTGCATTAGAATAAATTACAAAATGGTCAATGAGTGCGGTTATTTTCACATGTTCCGCAGTACAAATTTAAGATTTTTTAATAATATGGCTGTTGTTATAAAAACAGAGGAAGAAAGTATAGGTAGACATTAATTTTCTATTAAAGTATTAAAATTTTCGACTTAAGGTAATCAATTTAGTTATTACGTTAATTCGTACATTTCAGAGTCTTTAAAGTCAATTTGCGAGGCTATCTCTGTGGCCATGGAGATAGCTGGTTTACCAAAGATTCCTATAGCAATGAATGTCACTTTAGATAGGCGAAAGAGTAAATTAGTGAACAGCAAAGGATCCACGGGTTTGCTGGATATTTCATCATTTCCGGAATTGACCAGAAATGTCTCAGAAACGCAGTTACTAGCTCTTAAAAGTGCAGGTATATTTTCAATAAAAGAATCTACTTTTCCAATAATTAATAACTTCCAAAATATCTTGTTATTGCAGGAACAAAAGCTTTAAGCAACATGTCTGAACAATTTAGCAAGTTAAATAAGTTAAGTCACAGCTTTAGTGCTAGGAAACCAATTGACATAGCAAAAAGTATAGGCAGAAAGTCTGAAACACCTCCCAAACCCACTTTTACTGTTGGTGGCAGGGATATCTCAGGAAATGTGCAAGGAAAACATAATAGCAGCAGTAGTAGTAGTGACGATGAAGACATTGACATCCCTCCTGTTCCTTTAGAAAAGCCAGAGAACTTTAGTCATGATAAAAATCTGATGGAAGCATATACTCCATCAATTGGTATCATAATGGGTGTTAAAAACACAGATGTAGTAGACTCTGAGAACAACGAAGACCAAAATTTGTCGATGCGTCCTAACAAATTGTCTGAACAGGGTTCTAATAGGGAAGTTTTAAATATACCACAATCTGGTTCTGGAACCAGTAGTGTAAATACATCTCCTCAAAAGACGCCAGAAATAACTATACAAAATGTGACAGATGAGAAAGAAAGAGTACTTCCACCATCGACATTGACACTGTCTAAAAACATCAGTCATTCAACTGGAGAAGTTGATAGCAAGCTTATGCTTAGTAATATAAATGGAAATAAATTGCAAACGGAAAGCAGGTTGCAAGATAAGAAAAGATCTACGTCTGAACAAGATTTAACTTTGAATATTACATCTTCTCAGAGTGAATCTGCTTTGAAATCGATAAAAACTAATATAACAAATGTTGCAAGTCCTGTGGCATCTACTGCCAAAGATATTTTATCACCTTTTTCGAAGTTTGCAAAAGGCGTGCAAACTTTAGGAGCAAATTTAGATCCTAGGAAACTAAAACCAGGACAAGTAGGATTATCGAGAAATCTCTCGGATCATCACGTGAGACAACGTCAGAAATTGCAAGAAAGCTGGGATTTATGTCAATCTAAGCTAATAGCTTTATAACTTTTTCAAAATAGTTTGAAGTCTGAATGTGTAGTAGCAGATAAACAATTTAAAATTATACAATTTAGAGACATTTTTGCATAAAAAATTTTTAATTCTTTTATTACTTTTAGTATTTTTTAATTAGAATCACGTTGAACATCTCAGTGCACGTGTCTTACATGTCTAATTTTTTTTTTTTAAATTTCAATTACTGCCATCTTGTTAACAAAAATTATATGCAAAAGACACAAAAGATAATTAATTGATAAGATCCTATCTATATATTCTTTCACGTGAACAAAAATTACTTCCCAAAGTACAATGTGGTCAATATTTAATCTGCAGCAAATCCATTTGTGTATGTCTATCTAGAAATTTTCTATTACTCTACATCGATGAGAACAATTGCTCTTAATGCCTACATGAACTGATTACAGTTCGCAAAATGCTTTCGGCATATTTATACGAAATTTTCATCGCGACAGCCTTTTTATAGATTTTACCAAACAAATCCTGGCATTGCATTTAGTCGTTAGATATGTGAAATTATGACTTGACCAAAAAAAAAGAAGAAAAAACAAAAAAACAAAAAAAAAAAAGAAAGAAAGAAAAAAAACATGTGCTTACATAATGGAATTTAATCTCAGCGTTCTTTGGAATTCCAGTGCTTGCTGCATAATCAATTTTGTTTTATTTTTTATGATTTTATTTATTTGTAACATATGTTATAACTGTTCCTTTTGTAAATTTCTAGATTCCTGTGTATACTGGATATTTGTATATTTCTAGACATTAACAAAATTAAAAATTTGTTTATGCAGCAACCTGAATAAAGAAGCTTTGTAGTCAATTATGTATATATAAAGAATTACTTAAAATTAGTAGTCTAATGAATAATGTTATTGCTGGTTAAGACAAGAATATAATAGCAAAGTGAATCTAACGGAGGAAACGATCTCTTTAATGATATGTATAATGTGCAAACTAGCGGTTATTGTAAAGTCTAGACATTCGACGGTAATATACTAATAAGTAAATTTTTAGACTTATTATGAGAAACAGTATCAAATTCGAGAATTATTTTGAATATACGAAAAGGGAGAAAGTGCTTTGTTCATGATGTATCGTATTCTTTTCCATATAAAATTCCAATTGAAACATACAAGGGGTTCCAGAAGAAAAGAACAATCACAGTATTCGTACACTTGCACAGTCACAGTATTATGTATATTAGATATAACCAATTATAGAAAACAAATTTTGCATATGTATTGATATATAGATTATGAAAAAAAAAAGTACATGTTGTTATTTCATATTCTATGTATGATGATTTAGACCAAACGATACGAGTTATGACTCTAGATGGCTAATCTCTTGTACAGACCAGTACTTTAATTATGATAATATTCTATAAACATATGCATAGTTGCACTGACATGTTGATCAAAGTATTGCAAGATAAGAATTTTTCTAGTAAATGTTTTTCCCAACTGCAAATGGATAGCCTGTGATATATAATCTAGCAGAATGAACACAGCCTAAAATAAAAAACAAAAAAAAAAAAAATATAGAAATAAAAATGGAAATAAAGGATGTGTCGATTCTGTAGATAATTTAGAGATGCTTTAAAAAGTACACAAAAGACAGAACTGTTTTCACTCGCTTTAGCAATATTCAACGCGAGATTTTATGCTTATTTATTCATTCTTGATAGACCAGTTTATTTTTAATATAATTTTAACGATTCCTGAGATATTTATTTATCGATACAGTATTACAAAAATTACTGGAGAAGATGAAAATTATATATTTTGTGTTCGTTTTAATGTATACCCATGGTCCAATTAAAGTTGAACATTCAAATATTGTAACATAATATATTATTATCTGTATTTTTATGATAGAACATTACAATCATGACAAAACAACGCACGAATATGTTTATAGCCTGTAGAGGCTTAAATTGCCTTATATATGTAATATATATATATATACTAACAGTTACGTTTTCGAAACTATATATATATACATACATATACATATATACATGTGATACCGCAAACAACTTAGTGATTGTAGGAAAAACGTTATAATAAAATGCAAATAATTCTAACTACTGACTTTTTATTACATTCAAAGTGAAATTCTCTAAATAATACCAATAAAGTGAATAGAATGTATATACAGATAGATTGTACATATGAGTAAATTTTAAACATTAATTTCAAATTTATGAAATTGCAAGCGATTTATTTATTAAATTATATAGTTATACGCAATAGCAAACGGTACCCAGAGTGTATTTCACTTTGAATGAAATGATTTTCGAAAAATTAAATATTTTTTCTTAAATTTCAGTACCTTGAGACAATTCTGCTTTAATCCAATCAATTCAGTAATGCCTTAAATCTAATTATTTCAACTGATTCACTAAAAAATGATTCAGCACTCGTGACCGTAATTCAAATTCATTTGAATTATTAATGGAGGGAAACGGTTGGTTTAACGTACTTTCGATAATCGCAATCGGCACTCGAATCGCATCTATAATCGATTAATTTTATGTTACTCCGCAGGCCACGTGGTATATTTTGTTTTTGTGTGAACGAATATTTCGTGCAAGGTGCATAAATTTCATATTTCACGAATAAATATTTAATTACACAGTGAATAAAAAATTTATACAAGCATGTTTACTTTACCTGTAGTTAATATTGGTATAAATAATTGTTCTTGAATCGTTAGATAATTTTGTTTTTGTTAATTCTTAAACATGGAATGTTTTTGGTCTGACCTGAGTAAACATCCTCAATGTCCACATGGTATTTTTGCCTTAAAACTTTTTATATTTCGATTTAATTACCTAAATATGTGTAAAAATATTTATAATAGCATTCTATTTGTATAGGGCCAACTTTATTATTTGGAACATATGAAAATGGTAAATTGGAAAAATTTTATGTATGTGCTGCTTGTCGCGAGAGGAAGATGTGCAAATTTTACTTAAAAGAAAATGAAAAATTAACAAAACAACAGGCAGCTAAATGGGAACAAGAGAAGAAGCAATTTGTTAATCGTTATCATCATAGGCCATTATATGTACGTTTTAATGAGATAATGTATGTAACACCAGAAAATAGATGTTACTGCCACACTTGTGAACAATTGATATTCAAAACTGAGAAGGATATGATGAACAACCATAAAAATCATGACATAAAGGAAGGTCTTACAGATTATGAAATGAAACATCCAACAGAAATCTTGAAACCTTTAGAAAATTCTAGACAAGAAGCTCAATATTTCTTCACAAAACAATCTACTGAAGATATAGTGAATATACTTGTAAAACTGAAAGCAAAACAAATTCTTTGTATCTGTACTCCAAAAATCCATGAATATATTTTAGAGCATCATGAAGATACAATATCTTCACTCTTATTAGATTTTGATGGAAGATTTGTAAGTTTATTTAAAAATTCAATTATTTTTATTTATTAATAATCATATTGAAATAAACTATGTAAATGTAATATAATCCCATGTTTCTTTATTTATAGCACAATTTTTTTGGGCCATTAGATTATTGTTGGTATAATCTACTGAATAATCATTTTTTTAATGAAAGTGCAGCTCATGTATTTAAAGATTTTCTTATGCAAAATGGAGGAAAGGATACATATTTAGTATGTGATCCACCATTTGGTAGTAGAGTAGAACCAATATCTTGGACTATAAAAAAGATTTCTGAACTTCATAAGAAATGGAATAATATAGAAGATGAAAATAACAGTTTAAAAGTTATGTTTATATTTCCATATTTTATGGAATCTGTAATGAAACAGAAAAGTAATCCACCTGGTATATCCGGAGGTTTGAAAGACCTAAACATGACTGATTATAAAGTAACTTACAATAATCATCCATTATTTATAACAGACACAAAGACTACCAAGATACCATCACCTATTAGAATTTTTACAAATGTATCATTAAACTTAGTTAAACTCCCAGAAGCTCATGGTTATAGATTTTGTAAAAAATGTCAGAAGTGGGTTGCTAAAGAAAATAAGCATTGTAAAAAATGTCAAGAGTGTACCTCGAAAAATGGTCTTACTTATAAACACTGTGATATATGTAAAAGATGTGTGAAACCTTATTGGAAGCATTGTGAAACTTGCACAAGGTGTATTGTAACGAAACATTTATGTGGCCAAAGGCCTCATGTTGTTGGAAAATGTTTTAAGTGTAATGAAGCTGGTATGTAACTTTTATCTTTTTGATGTAATATAATATTATACAAAACTTACAATATAAGATATTGCATTATTTGTAGGACATACTGAAAAAGAATGTGATGTGGATGAAGAAATTGATATAAATACAACAAAGGCTAAAATAGTTAAAAAACGCAAAACTAGCAATAAAAAAGCCAACATTAACAATGCCAAAAAGCGGAAAATAGGCGATTCTTGTGTATCTGAAGAAGATGAGAAAAACATTTCGATAAGCAAAAATACTACTAAAGTATCCAAAAAATTAGAGAAGAAAGGAAAGAAGCAGAAGATATCACCAGAGCTCAAAGTAAAGACTTTGAAAAAACCTCACCTTCTGAAAATGCAAAAAAACATAAAATTACACGATCAATCAAACGGAATTGTAAATACGAAGAAGAAACTAAGAAAACAACAAACGTAATACAACTCTTATAAATGAAGATTGTACATCATTTTCTTTATATTGTACATAAAATTTCTTATTGATGTAATATGTATATAGATATATGTATGTATATATGTATACTTCAATAAAAGAAATTTGAAATATATTTTTTTTCTATGATCTTTTAAGTAAATCAGATACATTATTATGATATTGTGACTATAGCTATACTAATTAATACATGCTTTTAAAATAAGTACTTATCAAATTTCACTTCTAGTAACAAAAATTTTATTTCTATCAATTTGTTATTGTTTACCATTACTATTAGAATTTTTAGAAAATAAATTTTCATGCACAATTAAATTCTCGCGCAATTCGTATTTGAAAATACAACTGAAAGGATTTATGTCTGATTGGGTTTCAAAAAATGGCTGCCCCCTTGACGCGTATATCTTGGTCTATTTTAAAAAGAAATCAGTTCCAGTATAAACAAATCTTAACAGTTTCCGATGTGAATCGTTTTACACAATACAAATGTTCATACACTGAAGAACGAAAATCACGTATTTCCAATAAAACAATTAGAAATACTTTACTTTACGCCGTCTTTTTCTCCGGTTTTGGTTATATTTGGTATAGGTGGAAGGATGATTACCAGCACTGCCTCAACAACTCGACGAATTCTATGTTTGCAGTATATGCTAAACAAGCTTCTTGGAATGATAGTAATAATAGAAATAAATATAATTTTATAGCAGATGTAGTAGAGAAATCAGCTCCCGCAGTAGTATACATTGAAATTAAAAACACCAGGAAGTAAATACAGATTTATATCTACAAAATAAATATAATATGAGATAATTGTAATTTGTTAGCAATCATTAATGAGAAAATAGGTATGATTTTTCTACAGGTAAACCATTGAACATCAGCAATGGATCTGGTTTTATAGTTGAATCAGATGGTCTTATATTGACAAATGCTCATGTTGTTAATGCCAGACCTAATACTATTGTTAAGGTAGCTTTTATAGTGCAGGATGTAGATATTCTTATATTATAAGAATTAATATGTGAACGTGTTTTTTCATTTTTATGCAATCTGTTTCAAAGGTACGCCTTTATGATGGAACTACTTATACTGGTGTCGTAGAAGATATTGATATGCTCAATGACCTTGCAACTGTGAGAATTGACAAGGTTCATATCTGTTGTATATAATAACGTATTTATATTTTTACATTATTATTATTAGTAAAGATTCTTTTTTACAGAAAAATTTACCAGTTATGAAACTTGGTTCTTCTGCAAATCTTAGGCCAGGAGAATTTGTAGTTGCTATTGGATCTCCATTATCTTTAAGTAATACAATTACAAGTGGTGTAATAAGCAGTGTAAACAGACATAGTCAAGAACTTGGTCTTGATAAACAGATGGCTTATATCCAAACAGATGCTGCAATCACTGTCAGTGTATCATTACCAGTATTTTAGTTTATACTGAATATTTTTGTATTAAATATTGTTCTTTTGTAGTTTGGAAATTCGGGTGGTCCATTGGTTAATTTGGATGCAGAAGCAATTGGTATAAATGCAATGAAAGTAACATCTGGTATTTCTTTTGCAATACCCATAGATTATGCAAAAGATTTTTTGAAAAGAGCAGAACTGCGTAGAAAAGGCAAAGGTATAGTATTTAAGAGAAAAAAGGACAACAAAAAATGTTTAATGTGAGATCTTTCAAATAAAATATCATTGTACTAGGTATGAAACACATACCGGAAAAGGTAAAAACTCAGTATATTGGAGTTACAATGCTTACTCTCACATCCGATCTCTTTTATGAATTGCAAAAGAAATTGAAAGGAATTTCACATAATGTTACACATGGTGTTCTGATTTATAAAGTAAATATAGGATCGCCAGCCCACATGTATGTTTCAACAAACATTATTGTTATATTATATTATTAAATACAAATATACTAATTAATAAAAAATATATTTTTATGTAAAAATTTCAGAGGTGGTTTACGAGCTGGCGATATTGTAACGCATGTTAACGACGAACCAGTGATATCCTCAGCTACTATCTACAAAGCTATAGAATCAACCAAAACCTTGAGATTGGTTGTGATTAGAGAAATGCAAGTATTGCACATTCGAATCGAGCCAGAAGAAATTTAAATCGCGCAACCAGTAATACAATTTACTTCAACATTGAAAATGGAACTTAAACAAATCTCCTACCTCATTTAAATATTTCACTAATATGTTATGTATCATTTATATTTTGTTTTTATTTTTTTCAATTTTGCAATACAATGATTCTATACTGTGTTAATACTTCAAATACCGCTGAATCGTTCCTACAACAAAAAATTAACGCTATCCGGTGAGATATGTTCCAATTATCCCAAAATAGAATTCCTTTGGATCTTTTTTATTTCACTTTTTCTGTGGCCGCCACGAAGACTGATGTTGCGTCGAGGCCCCTGTTACGATAGGGAACTTTCTTCTGCGTACATGTATGTGCGTATGTACGTCGGGTGTGGTCCATTGGCATGACTGCATTATGTTTATGTTGTTTACGACATAAGGCGACCTCCGCAAATATGTGGCCGGATCTCGGGGAGCGTAGGCGTGGTCCGAGTGGCTTCCAGCATTTTTTCCGAAAACGCTTTACTGGCCGCGGCATCTTGTTGGAATTCTAAGCTATGTTTGCACTATCACAATAAGTTATAGAAATATTACAGCAGTCACAGCAATTTTTCTCTATTTTTAATGGACTGTTTTAAATAATTTTCTTTAAACCTAAAATTTAAACAGAACTGTTTGTTAGTAATTTTGAAAATTGACGAGGTCTGCGCCAATTTATAGGTAGACAAAGAAAAAATTATCCTCAACCCCATAATTTTGTATATAAACTTATTACATTGTAGAAATGATAAATATATTTATAACAACAATTATTCCGACTGTATTACAAAGTATCAATTGCCAATCCAATACTTCATAATAAATATTTTTTTATTATGATTAACGTTCATAATTTATAACATTAATCCCTAATGATATCAATAACAAGAAGAAAATAAAAAATTGTAAAATCAAGTGTCCTTCATGGCTATAAGAATGTAACATTACACCGCGAATAAAGTTAATAGTAAATGAGCCTATATACCAAGGTAGTTTGTATCTTGCTTTGTCTATTCATGTTGTTTCACGGTTCGTGCTTCTACGATTATCATGCCTCTAACATCATTTCATTCTTTTTTCCTACATGCTTCTAGTTTCTCGCGTAGACAGCCATCTGTTCCCTGATTATCCACGCTTTTGCCGTGTGAAGCTCGCCTACGAGGGAGCGTTGTCACTTCCTACGTGCGTGCTCGGCAATTCTCGGTAGCTGGAGAACAAACGGCCATCAAGGCGATCGAGACTCGATATCTGCGGACCACAGAGCGGCCAGCATCGCCTACACGAAGTTACACGTTGACTTTCCACCGTACGATGACCAGCAGCGAGAAATCTCCTTAAGAGACCATGTACGCTCGCACGAGGGAACGTGCTCCGTTTTCCAATATACATACGACTGATGTTGTTCGATGGCTATATCGAACCGGGAGTCCTAGAAAAATGGCGGGGATTAAAGAATGTGGAAAAGAAATTGATTACACGCAGCCTAATTGGTCCGAGCGATCGTTCCTTAATGAACGTTATCTTTTCTCTTTTTGGATCGAATAATTTATTTTTTTGAATAAAATTTCGAAAGGTCACAATGGGAGGAGTGGGGAAATCTCGGATGAAAAATATTAAGAACGCGATGTGTAATACTAAAAATTTGTCCTCATTATCTCAGAAACTATTAAATTACAGAAGTTGAAATTTTACATTTAAGGGTTCGTTCTCAGAGACGTATGGGCGAACCGGGTGACCGCTAGAGGTCCTGAATTTTAATTGGCCCTCGAAATGAGACTAATATATAATAAATTATTTTATAAATAAAAAGTTACTTTTATTTTGTATTATTATTATCGCGATGATTGAAAATTCCGGAAAGAATCTCCTGCAATGTATACAAATAATCCTCTAATAAATACTGCAAAGACAGTAGAAAAATGTTAAGAAATCTGTGAGTCATGCTTACACGTATCTTCACCATAAACGATCAATCTCTCATCAGCCTTCCTATAAATAAACCGTGCATACATTCGCGACTGTGTACTCGAAACTATCTATCTCCAAACTCGAAGCCAGACCAAGAAGATATACCACCCAGGACTCACGACTCAAGGAATCCGTTCCTCCAATCAACCACACCAAAAGCATCGCGAGGGCGCTGCGCTCGCCTTTCCAGCGTGTCTCGGTTGACACTGACAAATAATTCCACCCGTGCCCCGTCGCCATTACGCTACAGGACCATGGATGTCCGCGATATGCGGCGGCTGAACAATCGCGTTCGTTTGATCATTTGACTGGCCACGTCCGGGTCATCGGGAGTAGCCATAGCGTAAGGCCTTGGCGTGACGGGTTTTATTGGGACAAGGGAGGATTCTCGGATGACCGGGTGAAAAAGACTGCGGCAGTCGAACAATTTCGCCGTGGCGATTGGTATACGAGCCAAGGCCGGTCGAATTGTTGCCGCGAAAGGCATCGCGAAACGCAATCACGCGTCCCATTGTACATGGGGGACCATCGATCGAAGAAAGGGAGGAGGCTGGTTCCCGCGTGAACTCGTGTCGCCGCGTGGCATTGATTCGAAAAAGAACAAAGGAACGATCCGGGACGAGTTTAACGACGTTGATCATCTCAATGGCGCAATTACTCGGGTTGTTCTACCGGGAATGGATTTATGAGTGGCTGTAAGAAGCTTAAACGTCGGGCAATTACCCTCTGCTGAGTGGAGGGGACTCCCGGGCGCAATCGTTCGGCGGGAATTTCGTTGCGGTTTCTTTTGGGGTTCCTTTCTCGACGGGAGGAGCTGGCTCGTTGCGAATTTTTTCCCCTGTCCTTTGCTGAACCCCTGCGTGTCCTGCCGAGTAACCGTTTTATGGAGACCGAGATAATGATTGGATAAATCCGAAGTTGGAAAGGGAACAAAGGAACAAAGCAACATAGGTTAGGTCTGGAGTTCTCGAACTCTTTTTGAATGACTTTGATCATACTTACAGCTCAATTTAGCTTTGGATTGTATCTTTGACTTAGTTATGATCACGGAAAACTGCGATTCCGATGGATTTTAATTATAATTTGTGTAATTGCAGATTATTGAAATGGAGTCATAGGGGATTATACATGTTGCCTTCTTTGCTCGAATCTGCAACTGAATGCACGATCTATAGCTCTTGACCGTAGACTGAGATAAGACTCCCATCGAGTAAACAAAAATACTCTTTGCTACGGCCTTGGACTAACTTGAATCCAAGATAAGATCAAAGATTTGAAGAAACACTACTAGATCTTACTTCTTCGAAACATTTCAACGTGACTTTCTTACTCGAATTTAGATCAAAATCGCTTACTATTTCTCACACTTTTCCTTTAAAGAAATCAGACAGAAGTTCTTTTTTCCACAGTCTTCTTCTATCTATTAGATCCCACTTCTCCGAGGTATTCTAACCTAACTTTCTTCCTCGAATTTACGATATACATGTTGGAAACACTGCTTCCTCTTCTCTGGTTTACTTTTCAAAGAAGCTCAAGTAAATTCCGTTGTCCACGGTAAGTAATTCCATTCTTTCCGTCCGTGTCCAAGTACAGCCTCCGGTATCTCATTATAGAAAACGCGAAAAGGATCTAGTTTCTGAGCGAGGCGGCGAGGAAACATGATGTGAGCAAATAAACGGCCTGCGAAGAAGAAGAAGCGGAGGGCGTGGCGAAGGATGCCGGATCCCGGATCGAGGGATCGCGTCTCCAAGTATTCGGTGAACGGATCCGCCTGTCCTTCGACGATTCCGCTGGTTCCTGGTTCGAAGACACCGCCACCGGCTCGCTCGTCCCCTCCGCCATGTATATAAGTCAAAACCAGATCGGAAGCAAGGTGCACAGGCCGAACAGTCCTTCGTCGAGAAAGGAGGTTCGCGGGAATACACTGACCGATCTCACGATGCAGACTCTGGTAAGTGACACTATGACTAGATCTTCTATTTTTCTATCGATGAACAGCTAGTTAGATTCATTTGCTAGATTAAGCTGATTAGCTTTATCCGAGAGTTGGGTTAGGGCTGTTGCTTGAGGAAGAAAATGTTTGAGTGTGTAAAAGGGATGGAATGGGATGGGTCATTGTTGGTGACCCCTAATTAGGAGTAGGTAAACAATGGTAATTATGATACGGGGATTAATAACAATGGGATTTTACTGATTTATTTATTCAGGAGGGAATAGAGATCATTTTGTCTTAATTTTTCTTTCTTTTGTTTCTTAATTTAGAAGTTGACTGTTCTTAGTGTCTAGTTTCCTATATTGTGTCTTCATAGAAACTATGACTGAAGTCTATTCTTTAATTACTATTGTGATTAATAATTAATTGTCTTTGATTAATAAGCGAGTATCTTGGATTTGAATTCCTAACATCGAATATAATTCGTTACTCATTTCGATTTCATAAATTTTGTATTTTAATCAAATTCGAGTCCTCGGGAAGGATGCAAAAATTGTCCTCTCCCGTGATTAGCACGTGGTACCATATTCTTGAAAGTCAAATGACCGTCAGCATCGTGTGTCACAATTCGAAATCAATGCTATGGAGAACGTGGAGGGTCTAAGTGCAGCCTTTTCGTTTTCACGGGCTGCTCGATCGTTTCTGTGGGCCTCTAGCCGTCGTCGTGGCCACTCGTTCGCCTCTTATTGGATCGTAAAGAGAGCAGGATCCCTGGCCTCATGCAAGTATAAACCCACCCCTTCTGACGCGACGAGAATATCTCGTTCGTAAAATTCGACCGATCCGTCGAATCGTCAACCTTGAGTGGTTTCTAGAGTCACGAGCTGTCCCGTTGACGATTGCCTTGGGAGAGATTTGTCCTTCCTCTGCTTTTCTTCCAATCCAAACTGTCACATCTTTCCGCGGTTGTTTATAGGGCGTGTACGACGGACTGAAGCTTTCTAGAATTGTCCCTGAGATTTTTATTGAAATTTCCAACCAATCGGCTGTCGTGTAATCTCTTACGGGTTCAAGAAATATTTCCTCTGAAGACACCCAGTCCTTCCATACCTTCGCCGTTGATCCTGCATACAAATAACTTATTGTTGGAAGAATTTTGAAAGATTTTGAATTCTTAAAGTCATCTAATACTTTCCTTTCTAATATTTTATATGGTGTGTCCAATAAGTTCACTGAAAGAGCCATTTTCTTTTCCAGATTCCATTGATCTTGGCTCTTAGCCTAGCCTCAGGCACGCAGCTGAACCTGATCCCATACGCGTACCTGTCGAACCCGCTTCCGGTGTTCCACCAGTTCCAGAACACGAGGACAGGAGAGCACGCGTACAGCTACGCTGGCGGACCATCTGCCAAGGAGGAAATCAAAGATGCCGACGGGGTCCTCCGTGGCTCGTACAGCTACGTAGACGCCAACGGAATTCTCCAGTCAGCTTTTTACGTCGCTGACGAGAACGGTTTCCGGGTAGCTGCAACGAATATTCCTTCAGATGACAACGTCGAAGCAGCATCCCACATCATCCTTGCTAGAAACGCGGAAGGTTCGACATCCAGTCGCAAAAGGCGTAGCATAGAGTCCATCTCTAACCCCAACGACAATAAGCAAAGACAAGAAGACTCACAGAATCTCCAAAAGGATGACACGCAGGCTGCGTTGAAGGGTATATCGCAACCTCTGCTGCTGACCAACGGCATCCCTCTGGCGACCTCGCATCAGAGTCAAGTTCAAGTGCACAGCAGTGCGCGGCTGGATGTGACGGAAGGCGAGGCCAAGGCGAAACCGGTCGACCTGCAACCGATCCTGCCAGTACAGACCATATTGGGAGGCTTACCAGTGCTAGCAAGAGCGCCTACCTACCACGAGAACCGCATAGAATTGCACAAGGAGCTGGGTATCGAGGGTCCCAAGCCCAAAGACGCGGTTAAGATAGACGCTGAACCGTTGACAATCCTTCGTTCTTCACCATTGGTTGTCCCACTTCCTCAATACCCTATCCTGTATTCCTCTCCACCTGCTCGAATAGTCGAATCTTCGGAGACCAGCGACAAAGCTGAAGGTATCGCTGATATTTCCAGCATCGTTCTTAAGGACAGTATACCTTTAGCCTTGGAGAAAAAGGATATTCCAATTTTAACGACTGGAATCGTGAAAGAGGCAGTTCCTCTGGTACCAATCGTGAAGGATGCAGCTAATTTGGCTACAGCCACGACAACCACGACCATCACCAGCCATGGAGTCAGTCAGATTCATGGGAACTCGAAGGTGAACGTTGAACCAACGCTGTTAGTTAAGACTGCACCGATTGCTCAACTACATCCGATCGTCAATGTCCCGGTCTATCTTCATTAGGCTGATGGGTTTGGCTAAGTCGTCGGTTGAGGATTTTGGAAGATTTTGGATGCGACATTTTGGGAAACGTATTGATCTGTGAGACAAGTAGAAGCTTGGAGATATCTGCGACCTCTGATCCAGGTAGAAACGCTTTTGTTAGAAGCGTGTTCTTCGGGATGATCGGTCGCTAGCGAGCAGTCAGCGAGAGTGTCGATCGGAGATGGGTCGATAGCTCGTTCTACTGGCGCACGCCGTTTTTTTTATATTTCGTCACTTCATTCTCTGCATCGGGAATCGCTTTAACGATCGATCTTTCGTTAAATTATTGCTCATTGTTCATTGCTCGACAATAAAAATGATTTCTCGTGTGTAAAGACGGTTCTCGCTTCCTGGTTCTTGACATCCCTGGTCTTCCTTTCTTGAGTCAATCGAATTTATAGACACATTTACGTTATAAGTAAGAAATCTTCGTGATTGTACTTTGGAATACTTATCGTTAGAAATTCCACGCGGAAAGTGGTGTTAAATGACCTACCATCGAATCGAGTGGGTCGAAATCACCCTATAGGATGTTAAGGTTACCAATCGCAATTGGGATTCTTCGAGTTCAATCAACTGTCACGTAAAGCCTTATAAACGTAAATTCAAAGAGGTACAAAACCTTTGACAGGAGTCTAATTACAATCTACAGACATAGCTACTAAATCAAGTAAAAAAAAAAAAAACAAAAAGCACCCCGTCCCCAATTAATAAGAGCCATAAAAGTTCTCCAATTCCGCAGGCTCTACTCGAATTTCTTACAAGCAACCTAACCCAGCAACGTAAACGAGAAACTCAAGCCATCCTCGTGCTTTCATCGGCAAAACCTAATGCCTGTCACAATTATGCCCGTAGACCCTAGAACAGCCATTTTCTTAGAGCTGGTCTCGGTGAGCGGGTTCGTCGACCCAACAGGAAAATGGCGGCGAATCATCGCGTGTCCAGTCCTCGTATTTACGCGACACGCGTGTCCGGTTTGCTTGTTTTTGGCGTATCGAAGCAGGAAGGATTCCCTGGACGGCGATCGAACGTGGTGGCGCGTTTGTCACGGCCGCTTGGTTCCCGTGGGAAATGCGCCGCACACCCTTGACCTTGAACGCCATTCAGCTTCCCATTATCCGGAATATATTACAGCATTAAAGCGGCGCGCGTGTCCAATGAAACGTCGGATTAGCGTCGGCTCTCCATGACCGTACACTTTCCGTCGTTTTCTTCCCGGGTTCTCCACGAATTCCGTGGATCGTTTTCCATCTACCCGTTGCGGGAGACTCAGCGATCCGGCACTCTGGTAAAGTGAATCTGCGGTTTAATGGTTATGTTTGAGAATCTACAGGTTGCTTCAAGATTATATTTTGTAGGTTCTATAGATTGCAAGTGGGCAAAGGAATAGTGGAACTTTGGTGTTGGGTTTAACTTGGTGCGTGAGATGTCTCTAAAGGTACTTGAGGTACAGGAAATATTACAATGAGAGAGGTTATGTTAAGGATTAAGGGAACAGGAAACTGTTAATAAGCGATTGTGCTGTGGGAGTATTACAAAATAAAATACTGGGAATTTTTTAAATATAAAGCTATATCGATAAGGAAATTGTACCGTCCATTTTGATGAAATGTATCACAATTACAGAATAGTTAAAAATAGTCTCTCTATATCTTTGTCTATGTGCCATTGTCCATGTTGTGAGATAGGTTATATCACACTATACTTGGGATATACTGAAGTTGTACCGAGGATTCCTTTCTTATACGAGGGTTTCATATAAGGAAATAGTACTTTAGATTAGAACTTGTTGATATATAGGATGTTCCAAAGCTGGAGTCAAAGTTTTGAAATTCTTGTTATTGGGAGAAGTTATATGTTAGTTCCCCTGGGAAAGAAATGAACTGGGTATAAATTTTTCAAAATAATAATAATTGCAACAGAAAATGTATAAATGTATAATCGTCTGTATACAAAGACGTTATGTTGCAGGCTACGGAAACTCAATTATAAAATAAAGGAGCGAACACGTAAGATCTATTTATGGAAGCTATTCGGATTATCCTTCGTTTATGTGCTCGCTAAGACCATGTTTCCTTTCACGATCATAAAATTCCCTTAGCCGTTAAGAAGTCTTATCTATAAGTGATTTTCTGGAACCTTTGTATAGAGAGCTTTAGAGGTGGAAAAAGAAATATATACTTAGCAAACATACTAGGAAATTATACCTCCCTTCCTTAAATTCTCAAAACTGGAGCAAAATCTCCGACTCCCTTTTCTGAAACTTCATCGAAAACATATCAGAGTTCAACGAATAATCAAATCGGGACACCGTGTACCCTCGTTGGAAAATCAGAGCTCCCGAAATAAGAAGCTTAACTTCAAACTACTTCCAAGTCAATTTTCCCAAACAAGGTTTCCAGGACATCAGTTGTACGCTCATGGCTACCAATATACAACACGCCCTTACCATTTTTCAAATCCTCGCTCGATAAAGATAAAAGCCTAGAGAATATAATCCATCGTCCTAGAACATACACATATACGATTAATAAAAGAATTATAACGAATTCCATACAAATACATATACCTTCCAATTTTTATAAAGATCCATCGTTTGATCAAAATGACATAAATTTAATAATTATTACAGAAGAATTACCAATATACAAATGACACATTGTGAAACAATGGACTATAATTCTTACCCCTTGCAAGCAACCAACACCTCAATCACGTAGAGTTACCTCCAACGCATAGCCATATCGGTCTCCGTTATTCCGTGTGTAACGACATCGAAAAGTTACGAAACGGTGTCGAAGTAGATTTTCTGACAAACAGCGATCATGAAAGCGATGGAAGGAGGCGGCGGCGGTAGAAAAAGGCCGAAGAATCCGGATCACCTTCCAGCCAAGTCAAGTGCACGGCCAGGGTGAAGGAACTCGGGCCAGATGAGCGGCGCGATTAGAAGCGGCCGAGCGTATCTCGCGCGTATCTCTTAATACGCGTCGAAGCTCGCGGTCGCGCTTGTCCGCGAGCGCGTGGGCGTGCCGTGACGAACGAGCCGCGGAAAGCCGGGTAGATTATACGCGCGGGATTACAGAAAATCGCCTCATTATCGAGCGGCTCGTCTTCGTCTCCAATCGCTTCTTTACTCTTTGATTTTATTCCTGTCTTGTGAATAATAGAATCTTTTCTGGATTCCTAAAAGTAAAAGTTGAGTTAAAGATAGATTGAGATAGATATTCTTAAGAAAGATTTTCTATTTATATTTGTATATATTTATTATTTATTAATTTGTAGGTAATGTTAGTACATACGTGTTATTTTGCAATATGGAAAAAAATTGTTTCTAATGTGGAATTGCTTACGAGAAAAGTAGGTGAATTTAGTGGAAACAGGTGGAATAGTGATTCTAATAGGTTACTGGGTGATTCTAAAATTTGTTGTGGTATTTGGGAATATTTTAATCACTCAAATGGTAATTACCTGTTGAAAAATATTTCGAGATATTTTGGATATTATATTTGTTAAATTGTTTCAAGTAATTCTACACACCACTGTAACAGTACTAATTGTAGAATTTCAGTTGCGTTGAATAATTTCAATTGTATTTGTTACATTCCAATAATTCCAATTATATTATTTCAACATGACTAAGCATTTCGATTTTACCAATTTAAATTTCAATCGCTTCTTTTCGTAAAAGCGAGTAACTGAGATTCTTTCCATAACCTCTAAATACTTATTTAGGAATCACAGTTTCGGATACTTATTTAATGACTTTAAGACATCCTGGAGTTATATATAGAAACATAATTGATACGTTGCTCGTTTTTATGCGTGCAGAATGCAATTCGTATTTGATACAGAAGTTTATGGGTCTGCCAAGTTTTTGCGAGATTCAGAACCGGGTTCGGTAAACCTCTTAACGATATGTCGTCGAGGTTAATTGACGTTTGGGGGTTTCGACATTGAGATCTTTGTTTCTCGAATCTACTTTCTTTTTTGTACTTATACAAAAGCCATTTTAATATAACGAACTTTCAAAGTCTGTTTTCGATATTGAAATCATAGTGTCAAAAATGTATTCTTTTTTTATACCTACATCATATACCTTGGAAACTATTCTTATTGTAATGTCAATTCAGTAAATACTACGACTCAATTAATCTGTTCCAGTTAATAGACCCATTTTTCGGTAAATAATTAGTCTGTATACAACCTCCAAACTTTTTCAAGAGTACGCTTCTGATCCAGTTTAGTATTTTGTAACTTTTTGTCTCTCGATTCTGATATTTTATCAAATATAAAAACCTAACCTTATACATGTCATAAAATAACATTTTTTCGTATATATACATTTTTCGTGTTTAATTTGTCTCACGTGAGGACGATTGCGATTGGTGCGTAGGTAACAGAGGGTGGGGGTGGTTCGGCGATCTCGATAGCCATGCCGTATTTGCAATGAAAACATTTGATGTCGCGATGAAAACGCTCCCCACGGAGTCACAGATAAAGAAACAATTGGCTCGTCCCGTTGTAACGCGCAAAATTCGATATAGGCTTTCGAATATACGCAAGATTATCGTGTAGTGTTTTCTGGAACGTGTTACAAGGTTCGTGAGTCTGTCATTGAAATCTGATGTACGGAATTCGAGTTGCAGAGAAAATGAGGAAATCAAGAACGAGTTATTGCGTACAGCGAGATCGTAAAGGATGATAATGGTTAATAACGTCTACAAATGAGACTTGCAGCCATGTTTTGTGGTAATTGTTGGTCCTGTACGGAGAAATGATCTTTGCAATATCTTGCGTCGTTATCCCGCGGTGAAATAAAATTACGCCTAATTGCGCACCGTACACGTAATGTAGAGGCTGCTTCACTCTTCGTGGACATTGGGTAATTTCATGCTTGAAAAAGAATTCTATTTAATATTTTATTATTTTGATAGAAATTTGGCGATATTGAAAAGAGAATTTTATAGAGATCGATAATTATAAATTAATTTCTATTTTTATTTCGAATATAGATTTTTTAATTGCGTATATAGTTATTTTTATATCAGTCAAAAAAGACTATAACATAACAATAGAACTAAGTGCATAAATTATTCTTATCACTTCGATTTATTTACATTTCAAAATTTTAAATATTCTATCTCTAGGATATTTGGACCTTTTGTAAGATTCTTCTGTAAGAGAACTATAATTGCCTCTCTAACTTTGAAAGCATTTAATAACACCCAATATTTTCCCCCTTCACCATAGTTCATTCAACTTATTTCTTTCTTTAAGTATTATCAAATGTATTA